TTCTACATTTGTGATATGTTTTATACTCCAAAAATTAGGAATTTTTTACTCCTCATATCCTACCACTATTACTCTGCACATTTTATGTGAATAAAAATACGTTATTTTTCAAATATTTTGTACCAGTAGAAAGAGCATTAAAAAAGCCTTTGAAAACATATAAAAAACATATGTTGAAATTTTTACTTCATAAGATATAGGGCATTATGTACTTTACCTAATCGGGGGTCAATTGATGAAATTACCACTAGATAACCATTTTTTATAAATAACGTAAAATTAATATAATTGAGCTGGTACATATATTAAAATTCGCATTGTATAAAGATACAAACATTTTAATTTGTAAACCAAAATGATATTTACAGTTTGCAATATTTAATCTAAAAAAGAAAGGATCTTCTGAAAATAATTAATTGACGGTGATAAGTCAACTAACGTTGTAGATTAAACCGGAATTAATGGCATTTATTATCGAAAAAAAGAACCAACGAAGTTGTAAAAGAGTATAAACATCTTCTGTCCTTTTTTGATCATCGTAGACTCTAACAACGAAACCTTTCATATTATTTATTGTAAATATATCAGGTGAAGCTTCCAATGTACCAAAATATGATATTGCAGCTAGGGTTCCATCGTCAGCTTTGATAAATTCTTTCCACCGAAGCAATGAAAACTCGATTCGGGCATACTTTTGCTTTGGATGCGCAAATTTGTAAATTACAAATAATTTTTGAAACTTTTTTTTATCATGTTCACTTTTTTATCATGTTCCAACAAGGCTTCAAGCAACCTCTAATTTAGTTGGGAATTGACGCAAAAAAATATATATAAAGCAGCAAGAAAACCGTTAGGAAGATTTATGCTTTCATTGAAAGGATTTTAATTTATTTAAATTTAGAAATGACTATTTTTTTTTTTTCCTTTTTTTTTTTTTGAGGTTCTGCTCTTCTTCGTTATTTGTATTTAATTTATTTACTGTTGAAAAATGGTTCAAATTTAGTAAACTTTCATAACTTGAAATTTACTTTACTGATCATTAGCCAACACACTGTTGTAAAAAATGAAATATTACTTGATGGACTTAAAAGGATTTTAATTTATTTAAATTTAGAAATGACTATTTTTTTTTTTCCTTTTTTTTTTTTGAGGTTCTGCTCTTCTTCGTTATTTGTATTTAATTTATTTACTGTTGAAAAATGGTTCAAATTTAGTAAACTTTCATAACTTGAAATTTACTTTACTGATCATTAGCCAACACACTGTTGTAAAAAATGAAATATTACTTGATGTCATGACCCAGAAAAATCCTTTGGGGGTATGACTATACTATCATTGGTGGTTACTGGGATATAAGTCCCTAAATCTGGTTACACCGTTCGTGGAAGAAAATCTATTTTCTAATTTGCGTAAAACCGCATTAAAAACTGCAATAAATTTAACTCTAGAGCAATAAAACCTTATTTTTTATAACTTTTACTTTCATTCACTATATAAAATTTGATAGGTGGTGTTAAATAGAGCATCAGCTCAAGCAGTCGTGGCGCAGTGGTAGCGCACTTGCCTCAGAAACAAAGGATCCGTTGTTCAAACCCCATCTCTGAGAAAGTTTTGCGACATCGGTTAGGAAGGAGGCGTGAACTTTCAATCAAATGCTCATCCGCGGTGCTCTGTGATAAGACCGTAAGGACTTCTTGGGGCACCTAAAAAAAATTAAAAGAAAAAAAAATTAGTTGTTTTCTTAGTAAGAAAATAAAAAAATGCTTGCATTTTTTGAGTTTAACAAAGAATATACAAATTATCAGTATCAAAAAAATTTAAAAAAATCGAAATTGCTTTTTTAAAAACTATTAAAATAAAATTCTGGGAAAAACTTGAGCATTAGTTGTTTAATTCATTTTTTTCATACTAGTTTCAACTAACAAGAACACAAATCAGATGGATAAACTTGTCATTCACTGAAAAGACTTGCAAGTTCTTGAAACTAGAAACGTCTCCGATGACTACATTAGGAAGCTGGGAGTGGATTGTGGTGGTGGTTTTCTAAAAGTAAGCTTTGTAATCGTGGAAAAAGATCCAGCTTCTCAATCTTCACCATCAAAACGACTTCTCGCCCAATCTCTGGCCATAGATTCTGGTTTTAAGCGTCAGTTACTGATTGCCATTTCTGCAGATCTCCAGGAAAACTATAGCAATGCCAAGCAAGTTTTTAATCTGCTAAACCTTGAAGAACTTTCCTTAGCTTTTTCCTGTGATATAAAGCCGTCAAATGTCATTTGTGGTCTTCAAGTACATTCTAGTGCACACCCATGCTCTTAGTGTGACATTTCAACAAAATATCTTGCAAAGGGAGAATCTCTAAGAACTTTTTGATCAATCAGAAGAGGTTATCAGGCATTGAATGTGGCTAATGCCAACATCAAGAAAGCAAGTTCTTTCTGCTATTGTTTTGCAGTGGAAGCTATTAAAGTTCCACCACTTATATGAAACCATCAGGTCGTAATAGTCTTAAGAGAAGGAAGAAATGTATTATATAAGTGCAAGGGAGTGCCAGATAAATTATAATATTTGGACAGGTGTCCAGTATTGAGAGGTGGTGTTTAAGAGGGGAGTATTGTTCAGTGATTAAGTTGGAGTTGAGTGAGTGTTGTTTAAGTTAGATATAAGTAAGTGTTGTGTTAATTATTGTGCTTTGAGTTTATAGTGTTCTAAATGTTAAAGTTTTATATTTCATTTAATGTCTATATTTGTATGAATCTGTATATTCGTAAATACTTTGCTTTTTGAACCATAGCCATATTAAACATATATTATAGATGCGTATCATGGATGTCTCACGGATGGCATGGATTCTGTGGTCTGATGTGGTTCAAGATCTGGTTCAAAATGGTAATATTGACATGGTTAGATAGAGTTATTCGTGTTATGCTTAATTTTCATTTGGTCAATATGTTTTAATGCGGTTCTTTGTTTTATATTTATTTAAAGACTAACTTTTGTGTATTTAAATACAAATATATGGTGTAATTTTAAACTTAGTTTAATTTATACGGTTATCAGTAAAATAATTCGTTTCAAATTTAGATTCTACTTAGTTCAATTTATATGGTCTATTTAAGATACTAATTTTATATTTAGTTTATATGCAAATTAATATATACGTTTTATTTTAGTTATTCTTTTACTATTTAGTTTACATTAATACGGCATACTATAAATATTCGTTTTATATTAAATTTATTTTATTCTAGTTGTACGGTTAAGTGATGGTACTCGTTTGGTTTTTAGTTTATTCTTATTTTACTTTTATACGGTTTATTGAAATTATTCGTTTTAGCTTTTGTTTATATTTAAATTACGCTTATATGGCGTGCTGCAGCTGTTCGTTTTATATTTAGCTCATATATAATTAAATTTAATTAACGTACTTTAAAGGAAATATTAGTCATTTTACATTTAATTTATTTTAGATGGTTTAATGGAAATATTCGTTTTTTATGTTTAATTTTTAATTAGTTTTAATTAATTTATACAGTACTGTCCGATTCTTTTAGTCTAAAATTAATTTGTATAATTTGAACGCTTGAGGCCCGTAATAAATTTGATACATGGGAAGAGTAGGTATATTTTTTTCTTTAAGAAATTCATTCATCAAAAACAAATATTAAAGCAATTTTCTTTCCTATAAATAAGAATACGAAACATTACAAACTTTGATGAATAGAGCCCCTGTTTACCTAAGTTTTTAACTAAGCTATAGTAGTAAGCAATTAACAAAACTGGTCTTTAGTGATTGTGCTATCAAGAAATGCTTACTAGCTTTGCAAGTAATCTAAAGTGATCTTGCACAATAAATTACAAAACATACCTGTATGTACTACATTTAAATCATTTTCATTTATATCATCAAACAATTTTTTTAAATCATATTTTTACCATAAATTTAAAAAAAATATATTGTTGCCATGACAAACACAAATACACAAAAAGTTATGAACAATATCATCACAAGCCATGAAAAGCCAAGACAAATACAGTTACGCAAAAATAAAGTTAAACAAAAAATAATCACAAAAAAACGTTTAGTGGTGTTACCAGAAAACAAAGTTATTCTTACCTTGTGTGAAATAAAATTTTACAACCTAAACTGTTGGCAAATGATCAATAAAGTAAATTTTATGTCATGAAAATTTACTTAATTTAAACCATATTTCAACAGAAGAGAAATTAAATGTAAATAATAAAGAAGGGCAAAACCTCAAGTACGAACTAAAAAAAAAGGTGAAAAAGAATATAACACAAAGACATTTTTAAATTTGAATAAAACATAATCCTTTTAATGAAACTATAAAATACCAGTTTATAAAAATAAAACAATAGAAATGACAAAAATAGAACTTGAAAGCATATATTGTATAAAGTTGAAGTTTAAACCTGAAAAAATATATAAATTAATATAATATTACTGTATCTTTAAATTAAAATTACTATATTTTGTACGATAACTATTCTAATTAAAGTAAGATTCACACTTGTCTTTTTCCAATGTTCCTAAATTAAAGAAATAATCCTACAACTTATATATCAAAAGCTCTAGAAATTTCAATTACAGTACAAAAAATATATAGCTACATAATAATAACAGTTATATCAATCCTATCATTATCATTCAACACTATTAACATACATCTCATATTGAATGATTTACTAGGGGGAGAGTATAATTCATATGCAACTTTAATGATTTACTAGGGGAGAGGTGATAATTCAGATGCAAGTCTAGTGATTTACTAAATAAATTTAAACAAAATTCGTTTTTAATATTTTCTCCACCAGTGCATGTCCTAATTAAGGTTTCAAATTGATGATGGAAAACAAGCAAACATACTAGATTTTGAAATAACGGACAATGGTGAAAGAGTGATAGACATAGAAATAGGACCGCGACTAGGATTAATCAATAAGGCACACAAATATAACAAAGAAAAAAAAGAAAATAT